CAACAATTCATATAAAAATTATTTTTTTTTATAGATTTTGCAGTAGTCGTTAAAAGTCGAAAATCACTTTTAAGCCGGATTGACAAAATTAAAATATCGAAAAGTCCACAGGGCAAAAATCGGAAAGTCTAAAAATCGATTTTTGTGGTCGGAAGAAAAATCGAAAAATCTAAATGTCGACTTCTACGCTCGACTACGTATCCCTAGTTTGGGAATGTAGTGTAATTTACCGACTGTGAAGAAGGACTATCTTTGGGCTTTGAGGTTGAATTTTTCGGTGTTCGAAATACCGCCAAATTGGAATACAGGTTAGGTGGCCTGTCATTTCGCAAATTCGTCATGTCCAAATACCCTAAATTCTCCATGTCCATTATAGGTATTCTTAAAGATATTTTAAAGGTTTAGGTGTGAAAGGAAATGCTTGGAGTTGTATTAGCTATTGTGTTCAAATTTATTTTGTTGATTTCGATTGCAACGAAAGGTAGTCAACATTTCGAATTTTAAAATTTATTCTGAGGAATGTGCTGATTTGTATATGGCCTTAACACTTTTAAAATATAAGCATGGGAAGCGTTTTGGTCAGAAAATTATTCGAAACCGCGATTATCATGAAATTTGTCTTAAGAAACTGAAGTATTTTTCGTCTGATCAGGGTGAACTCGCCAAACGCCAGCTATAATTAGGGGGAGTGAAGGTTTTAAACGTCTAGTTTTCAACATCGTAGCCTATATGCATTATATTCTTGCTCATAGTTACTACTACAATATGCATAGAATTACTTTTTAAGTCGATTTACGCATATCCGTCCGTTTGTCCATGTATTTTTGAAAACAAAGTATATGTCGCATTTATGATCCGATTTGGATGAAATTTTGCACAGTTCACTTATTTGCCGCAAGGACGAACCCTACCCTGTAAATGCTGCACCAAAGTCCTTATATATCTTTCGATTTGCACGAAAGGTGCACAGCGCACTGAATTAAGTCTAGAATGATGTGCGTTAAGTTTCGTGAAAATCGGATTTAGTTATAGCATATATATTTTTGTCCGATTTTCAGTAAATAGTGCACTATATAGTCAAATTTAGGCTGATTGGCACGAAATAATGCACAAAGTACTGAAGTTAGTATAGCTCAACGTGTGCGAAGTTCTATTGATATCGGTTCAGAGTTAGATATAGCTCCTATATATATATTTTCGTCTATTTTGCACAACATACTGAAGTTTGTTTAGGTTAATGTGAGTCAAGTTTTGGTGAAATCGGTTCAGATTTAGATGTATATATTTTTGTCCGATTTTATGTAAATGGTGCACCGAAGACGTACGTTATGTTTCGTGAAAATCGGATTTAGTTATAGCATATATATTTTCGTCCGATTTTCAATAAATAGTGCACTATAGAGTCAAATTTAGGCCGATTGGAACGAAATTTTGCACAAAGTACTGAAGTTAGTATAGCTCAACGTGTGCGAAGTTCTATTGATATTGGTTTAGAGTTTGATATAGCTCCTGTATATATCGACGCCTCCGAACCATAGTATGCTAAGTCGACTTAGCATGTTTTAAAGTTTTTCACGTTTTTAGATACTACGGTCCTTAATTTAAATTCACTGAAATTTTGGTAATCATCGGCCAATCCAAACCAAAGTTATAAGCAAAAACGTACTTAGCATGGCACGTACGATTAAAGAAACATCCATACATTGAAAGCTTGTACTGAAAAACTCACTTTTCAGACTTAGCATACTATGGTTCGGAGGCGTCGATACATTTTCGACTATTTTACACAACCTACTGAAATATGTATAGGTTAATGTGTGTCCAGTTTTGATGAAATCGGTTCAGTTTTAGATGTAAATATTTTCGTCCGATTTTATATAAATGGTGCACCAAAGACGTACAGAGGTTTGTATAGTCTAACGTGTGTCAGGTTTTGTTGAAAATGGTTCAGATGTATCTCCATATATATTTTCGTGCGATTTTAGATGAATGGTGCATCAAAGACACAAGTTATAGCCGATAGGAACAAAACGTACTGAAATTAGTATAACCTAACATGTGAGAAGTTTTGGTGAAATCGGTTCAGATTTAGATGTACAAATATATTTACGTAAATGGTACACCAAACTCCTAGTGTCAGATTGACATGCAATTTTGCACAATTCAGCATAGAATGACTTAATTGCGTTTTGTGGAAGTACATACATTGCCCATATACATTTCCGACCGACCGACTTCAAGCTCGTTGGGCTCCAAAAATTCCAAAAAAAAAAAAAAAAAAATGGAGTACGAAAGTCAGTCACCATGAATATAAATTGTCCTACGTTGGATGCGTATTTTTTGAAATTTGAAATTGAATTAAGTCTAGAATGATGTGCGTTAAGTTTCGTGAAAATCGGATTTAGTTATAGCATATATATTTTTGTCCGATTTTCAGTAAATAGTGCACTATACAGTCAAATTTAGGCCGATTGGCACGAAATAATGCACAAAGTACTGAAGTTAGTATAGCTCAACGTGTGCGAAGTTCTATCGATATCGGTTCAGAGTTAGATATAGCTCCTATATATATATTTTCGTCTATTTTGCACAACATACTGAAGTTTGTTTAGGTTAATGTGAGTCAAGTTTTGGTGAAATCGGTTCAGATTTAGATGTATATATTTTTGTCCGATTTTATGTAAATGGTGCACCGAAGACGTACGTTATGTTTCGTGAAAATCGGATTTAGTTATAGCATATATATTTTCGTCCGATTTTCAATAAATAGTGCACTATAGAGTCAAATTTAGGCCGATTGGAACGAAATTTTGCACAAAGTACTGAAGTTAGTATAGCTCAACGTGTGCGATGTTCTATTGATATTGGTTTAGAGTTTGATATAGCTCCTGTATATATCGACGCCTCCGAACCATAGTATGCTAAGTCGACTTAGCATGTTTTAAAGTTTTTCACGTTTTTAGATACTACGGTCCTTAATTTAAATTCACTGAAATTTTGGTAATCATCGGCCAATCCAAACCAAAGTTATAAGCAAAAACGTACTTAGCATGGCACGTACGATTAAAGAAACATCCATACATTGAAAGCTTGTACTGAAAAACTCACTTTTCAGACTTAGCATACTATGGTTCGGAGGCGTCGATACATTTTCGACTATTTTACACATCCTACTGAAATATGTATAGGTTAATGTGTGTCCAGTTTTGATGAAATCGGTTCAGATTTAGATGTAAATATTTTCGTCCGATTTTATATAAATGGTGCACCAAAGACGTACAGAGGTTTGTATAGTCTAACGTGTGTTAGGTTTTGTTGAAAATGGTTCAGATGTATCTCCATATATATTTTCGTGCGATTTTAGATGAATGGTGCATCAAAGACACAAGTTATAGCCGATAGGAACAAAACGTACTGAAATTAGTATAACCTAACATGTGACAAGTTTTGGTGAAATCGGTTCAGATTTAGATGTACAAATATATTTACGTAAATGGTACACCAAACTCCTAGTGTCAGATTGACATGCAATTTTGCATAATTCAGCATAGAATGACTTAATTGCGTTTTGTGGAAGTACATACATTGCCCATATACATTTCCGACCGACCGACTTCATGCTCGTTGGGCTCCAAAAATTCAAAAAAAAAAAAAAATGGAGTACGAAAGTCAGTCACCATGAATATAAATTGTCCTACGTTGGATGCGTATTTTTTGAAAGGAATTATATTACAATTCCATTTCATAATTCTCGAACACGATTTATGTAACATTAATAATAGGATTTGGAACGCTTACCACAACTTCAGATATTTAGCCAAGTATACACTGGATTGGACACTCATTAGTTAATTATGAAATTCGTATATTATTTGATTTTGAATTTTCTGTCAGGATTTGTTTCAATATGAGGGGATTTTTTGTACAATTATATTTTTCAAATTTGTGTCTGATGGATGTCTTGTGAATTTATTTCGAATTATGTTTTTTTTATATTTATGAGTCATATTCTTATATTAAATCAATTATTTATGTCATTGAGTTAATGTGAAAAATATTTTAACAATGTTTAAAAAATATATTTTATTGAGCTAATTCGAACTATATATATATATATATATATATATATATTTTTTGTATGCTATTTTTATCATGAAAATTCGATTCCCCTTTTCCAAGGGCTTGTTATATAATTTTTGGCTTGCTTATATAATTTGTATGGATTATCACATAATTGCTATCTTATTCAGCTACTTAGTTTTGTCTTTTCATCATTCTTATGTACACACATTTTTCGTTTCATTTGTTAGCTTCTACTGGGTTATAAAAAAAATTAAACGAACTCGTCTAAATTTGCCACAAGGGCTTAAAGCAAATTACATTTATATTAATACGTAAGCTTAATAATCATCACAGCATCCTTGTCGTCCTCCACCAACCCAAACAAACAAACAACAATTGTGAAACGTGTTACTATCGTCACTATCAAAAGCAATTACCCATACCATACCACCCACATATCACTGAATGAAAATGGAAATTGGAAAACGCTATATGCTATGCATTTTGTAGCGTATGTCACTATGCAAAAATACTATCACACACCTCCACCATTCACCACCAGCCACACCCTCATTATCGTCCCGTCTTAAAAAAATGTCCCTTGTCATCTTTTTCAGTGTGTTTTCTTTCCCGACCTGTGTTTGCATACATTTTTTTAACATCAATTTTTGTTCTTACTTTGATAATGAAATTACACAATTTCTAATATTTTTTTTTCTTATCTCCACCGTTCTTTTTTTCAACACCGAATTACAAAAAAATAAAATGAAAATAACCAAAAACACAAACACACGCACACACCAATAATGTGTCTAAAACAAATAATCAACATTTTGAATTGAATATTTTCTAAATAATACGAAAAACAAATCAAAAATCTGATTTTTATAAAAAACCATACAACCCCCTCAATGAATTCGTTCATTCATTCAAAACAGAGCTCGAAAACTGGAAACAAAACTCCGGCCAAGAAGAGGGATCCTCATTATGAGTACAAACAAATGATAAATGAAATGGAAACACAAAGTGAACCTGAAGATGAGGAGCCGGAGGAGGAGGATGAGGTGAAGGAGAAGGGCGGCGACAAGGTGGTTTCCAGTGAAGTAAAAGTTGAGCCGGTGTATATCATAGATGACGATGATGATGACGACGACGAAGATGACGATGATGAAGAACAAGAGGATGAGGAGGAAGAAGAAAATAAACCAGATGAAACCCCCTCTCCCGTGGAACCCACGCGCCCAACTGTTGATCACTTAGACACCGATTCCGATTATTATGAAAGAAATCGCCCAGCGGCCCGTTATACCAGCGATTCGGAAAGTGATAGCCAACGAGTACACAAGGCTCGTCTCCAAACAGCTTCTGGACGTAGTACTCCCGATCTCTCATCTACCAATTATGGTCGTCATCATCGTAAATCGGTTAGCTTTGATTTAAGTGGTGATGAACGTTCCAAATCCGATTATGAGCGATCCAAAACACCCGATTATTTCACCTCTCGACACTATGAATCCGAACAAGAATATAATCCCTCTCGGCTGCGTATGCCACGTAAAGGTATTTTACGTTCCACCAGTCCATCGTCTTCCAATAATTCTTCTTTGGAGAAGAAACGTCCCGAAAAGTTACCACCCTTGGTGCCGACTGTGGCCCGGATAAAAGAAATTGAATCACCAGTGGTGCAAAGGGCCATTTCTCCCTCTCCTTCGCCGAATTATGGCAACACTTCGGGACGTTTGGCAAGTCCGCCACCACCAGCAGAAAAGGTCTTAGTCTCCTCGGAAATCGAAAGGGATAATCCCTTCCGTGAGGCATTTTTAGATAAAAATCGTACCGATGAATATACTGAAATTGCCAAGGCCATATCGAAATCACCGCGTTCTCCCAAAGAGAATTATTTCTTTGGTCCAAAATCTGGCTGGAAATCAAATGAAGATCTTTTGAAATCCGAAAGATTGAGAACCACATCTTCACAGCAATCGAAGTCAACGGAAAATCTTTCATCTCAGCCTCTGAGAAAACCCCCACCACCTCCGCTCATGCCAAAACCGAAATTGAAGAAGGCCGATCTGATGCGTAACTTTGCCTTGGAAAGCTTCCAGAACAGCGATGTTGGCCATGGAGATTTTGCGGTATTCGAACATGATCCCACCACAAATCAAATACACGAGGTGGCACGACCACCCACCCCTGGTGCCAAATTGCCGGTAAGGGTTAAAACACCGAAGAGTCCCATTACCCCCAGACCCAAAGATAGTCCTCCTCCACCGCCGGTAAATTACGCCACATTACCCAAACTTCCACCAAAAATGCAGCCAACACTGGGCACTAGCGAGGATACGCCACAATATATGGAAATTTTGCCGCCATTACCACCACCCGTGCCGACTCTTTATGCAGTGCCGTCCATAGATGAAGTGCCGCCAGCTCAACGTCGCCCTGCTGATTTTATCCATGAAAATTCTCCTGACAACATCCTTGTTACGGAGGAGGAACATCGCACAATTTTACTGCAAGAGAATGAGCTACGCAATCAAATACGACGTTCGGCGGCCAGTCATATACCGGAATTGGGTGTACCGCATGAAAAAGCCCCACCAGTGCCCAGTAGTAGTAGTCAGTCGACATCACAACATCAACGTCATATGGTAAATTCCCTAGCCGATGAAGATTTAGATTTCCCCCTACCACCAACACCTCCCATGTCCCTTAGTGATAATATACCCCTATCCTATGCTTTATTGAAAAAAGAATTACCTTTACCGCCACCACCTGCTAAGCAGGAGGATGTTAATGCTAAGAATGCGGCTAGTGAAAATGAAACTGAAACTATTTTAAATATTGGTAATACTAACAAAATTATTGCTTCCACATCTTCTTCTTCCTCTACCACTTGTTCTTCTTCTACTACTTCTTATTCTACTTCCTCTAAACATGCTGCTTCGGCTACTGTTGCTGCTAATCAGCAACGTTTGGATTTAACAAGTTCAGGGTCGTCGAAAACCACCGTGCCTGTGCCCGCAGCAGCAACAACCTCCACCGCCACCACCTCATCGACCACCACGGTCCTGCAACATAATCCCCTGTCGCCAACACAAATCTTTCCCACAGCTCAAATATTACCGGTGCAATATTCCAATCTGCCTCAACCGCAACAGCCAAGCGCCGCTCATGTTTTGGCTCCCGGACAGTCGATAATAGCTTTGGGCGGTGGCGGTTATGTGTTGCTGCCACAGGCGGTGCTGGCAGGTGTAAGTGCAGGTGCAACCGCTGCGGCACCCATGTTCCTTCAACAACAGCATACGCCCCAGTTGCATATGCATCAGCAACACATAGTGGTGAGTGAAGTCAATAATGAACAACAACAACAAAAACAGCAACAACAAGAACAACCACAACCAGACTCTCCCAGCAATGATGATGTTATGCACTCTCCACCTGGCTCGAACACAATTTCTGCCACACCAAACGCCCACCCAGGCAATATTAAAACCAATACTACTTCTTCCACATCTTCTGCCCCAGTAACATCAACAACCCCTACAACACCCAAAACCAAAGAGGTTAGAACTATCAACACAAAACCCCCCACCCCTTCCTATAGTGATTTAAAATTCCCCAGTATTTCAGATCTCTTAGATAGCAACACACCAAATAATTATCAAAATACCACAACCTCACCGATGGTTCAGTTCTCGTCGACTTCATCATTTTCCATAGATTCGTCAACATCTTCACTACATCGCCGCTATAATTCGCAAACATTAAATGCGGCCACTTATTGTGAGGCAGAGGGTATATCGACGGAAGATATCTATGCCACAATTGAAGAGGAGGCCATTTATAGTAATACCTCCTTTTTCGATTCGAGGCGTAGCAGTGATACTTCCTTGAATTGTCGCACCTCCATGTCGCCGCCACCACCTCCCTTGCCTCCGAAGAGGCCACAAAAACCCCCAATGCAAAAATTGCGTAAAGCCCCTGCCCCACCAACAGCAGCAGCGGCTGGTGGTCGTTCACTAAAATTGCGTTCACAATCCCAACCACAATTAAGTTTAGCTAACGAAAATCAAGCGACAGTCTCATCCTCCAGCCGTCAACCACCACCGGCATCAGCTTCTCTGACATCAAGTGGTAAAGAGACAACGGTTTAAGAAATTTCCTACACTTTTAGGTTTTTAACATTTTCTATTTCGTAGTCCTTTATCCCTCCTTTTCCCATCACTTCTCCAAGGGGTAAGGGGTTGGAGATATCCTCGTCGTGGTGTGTGGTGTGGTTAGATTAGTCAGTTCACTTGATTTTTCCAATGTCAAATTAAGAGTTGTTGTGAGAGAGCGAGAGATGTTAGATATGGGGGTGGCCATTTGCGGTTTAGATTGTGTGTGTTGGGGGAGGGGTGGAATGAAATGAGTGTGACATTTAGCAAATTCTGTCATTAGTTTGTGTTAAGCCAGTCAGTCGTCTTTTTTAATTTGTTTTTATTTCAGTCTAAATATTTTTGTTTTTTTTATGGTTTGTTTTCTTTTTTCGTTATTTGTGTGTGAAGGTATGTGTGCTGGGGTTTCAAACCCACAATTATTCCAAGGGCCAGGCGGGGCAATTGTTGGAAATCTTTTATTAGCTTTTTTTCTAACCAATAATTTGTCTCCGTTTTTTCTGTTGCGGCGATTTTTTGTTTGTTTGGGAGTTCTCTTCCATTGACGTTTAGTTACAGTGGGCATAATTTGAACAGGAGCAGACTCAACTTTTAAAAAAGTGTTTTTGTGGCTACAATAAAAGGAAGCGGAACTTTGCAGATTTGTACCTGAGGCGAACACTTTGGAATTCAATCCGGATAAAAATCTTGAAAATAATTAAAAATTAATTCAGACCCAAAATGTAGATTCGTCTTCGCAATATTTAAAATTTTTATTTTGAATGGTGCGCACAAAAACTAACGATGGGTCCTGCCAACATGAACAACTGTAGCAAACCCGTTTTTCATATATTCCGATTTTCGATCAGTATACAATTGCAGATTAAGCTTTGATTCCGCCCCGAACAGGAATATAATACCACTAGATTGCGAATGCCAGAATTATTTTACGTCCCACGATTGCTTCGTCTTACAATAATTCTTCTTTGGAGAAAAAACGTCCGGAGAAGTTGTCATCTATGGGTCAGAATCAATGAAATTGAATCACCACTGGTTCAAAGCGCAATTTTCTGCCCTCTTTCCCAAGGTCTCCTCGGAAATCGAACGTTATAATCACTTTCGTGAAGCATTTTTAAATAAAAATCACGTTCCCCCGAAGAGAATTATTTCTATGGTCCGAAATCTGACCAATGAAGATCTTTAAGAATCTGGAAGTTTACGCGCCACATCTTTGCTGCAATCAAAGTCGACGGAAAAACTTTCAACACATTTGTTGAGTAAACCCTCACCAATATATTCCAACTAGATTGCGAATGCCACGCAAAGGAATTTTACGTTCCATCAGTCCTTCGTCGTCCAATAATTATTACATGAAAGCCCGGAAAAAAGTCCGCCGAAGTTACCTCCTTTTGTGCCGACAGTGGCCAGAATTAAAGAAATTGAATTACCTCTTGTTCAAAGTGCGATTTCTTTATCCCCTTCCTCGGGGGGAAGTCGTATGGTAAGTTCACCACCGCCAGGCGAAATTGTTTTGGCCTCCTTTCAAATTGACTGTATAATCCATTTCGTGTGGCATTTGTACATACAAATCGTATCGAAGGTACAATCAGAAAGATTGGGCGCCACATCTTTCAACACAATTGTTGAGAAAACCCCATCACCTCCGCTCATACCAAAACTGAAATTGAAGAAGACCAATCTTATGTGCGACTTCGACGTTTTAGTATAGTACAAATATTAAGATCCCGCCTCGTTGTCAGACCTCAGTCGTATTTTTCAACGAAGTGTCTGTAATTTGTTGTTCCCGATTCTGGGAGGTTGAAAAACATCTTTTCACAAAAGTTTCGATATAGGTCCATATTTTACAACAAACCCAATGTGAAGGTCCTGCCACAATTTTTGGTATTTTGTAGATCTATGCTTTGATTCTCAACCGACTGTGGCGGAATGACATTCCGTGTTTTGATTCGATTTACGTCCGTTTTGCAATAATCCCTATCCCTACGTTTTGCAATAATCCCTATATAAATGTTCCGCCCTATTTTCGGCATTTTGAAATTCTTAGCTGTATCTCTTTATCATTGTGGGTGTAATTTGACATTTGGGGTTTCCGAAGAAAATTTACGACATAGGTCTATATTTTGCCATAGCCCGGGTCCACCACATTGTCGGTATTTTTAAGTTCAGTTCTCAACTGAAGTCGGTTATTGGATGGTAACACATCTATGCACAAGATTTTCAATTAAGGTTCATATTTTGAACCATCGAATGGTCCATCCCAATTTCCGGTATATTTAATGGTTTACTCGCCTTTTCCAATTAAAGTAGCTAAAGTTTGGCATTCCAGATTCTAGAATGGTGACAAACATCACTGCGATAATTTTTCAATATTAGATTACGTTTTGTTATAGCCCTCACATTTAAATATCCGATTTTGGGTATTTTAAAGGTCATGGCATCTTAAAAGGTGAGGAGCATATTTATTGATTTTTTTCGAAGTAAGTCTATATTTTGAGGTAGACACCATACAATGATCGCAGTTTTTTTGAAATGGAATTTTCAAGTCATTGTGAACTACACTACACATGGTAGTACGTCATTCTGTACAGAGTACGATTTTGTTGAAAATTTAAATTTTCCTATCGAAATGTCAGGGCCCCAGGCAGCACTTCTTATTGTCTAACCCAGCAATATGTTATTGTAAAGAACATCACAACACATGCTAGTACGTCAAAAAGTATTGAGCACTATAATAGTCAAAAATATTTCAAATATTCCAGTTGATAAGAGGCAACAGTTGGTTATTCCTAGGTCACAAATTTGTATGGTAGTGGTTCGGGTTTTTAAAAGTTAATTATTATGCCATTGTGAACTACACAACACATGGTAGTACGCAATGCTGTACAGAGTACGTTTTTGCTCAAAAATTTAAATTTTCCAATCGAAATGTTAGGCCTCCGGCAACACTTCTTACTGTTTAAACCAGCAAATTCTAGCTGTGAAGAACACAACACATCGAGCCATATTCGCGAAAAAAACGCAACCCTCAAATTTGAAATTTTAGAGTAGAAGGTTTTTGTTTTAATAAATTCAGATTTAATAAAGCTATTATTTTGAAATTTAGAACTATAGTTTTTAGCTTTATTAAATCTGAATTTATTAAAAAAAACCTTCTACTCTAAAATTTCAAAATTTAAGGGTTACGTTTTCTTGGCGAATATGGCTCGACATGTCCGTATGTTAAAAATTGTTGGCCAATATGACGCCAAAGAAAACAAAAACTGAAATATTCCAGTTTATATAAGGCAGATTGCACCTATTCAAATTTCCCACACTTCCGTTACCTCAATAAAACTAAAACTTTTCACTATTAAGGATTTTCCTTAATTCCCCAATGAACCAGCCCGCCAACCAACCAACCAGCCCTGAGTAAATAACACTATTACGAGTATAAATGAACTGGTTTCTATTTCAGAATAAAAAAAATATCCAATGCAATGACCCTTTAAATGGTTCGTTGATTTTAGCAGTTTTTATATATGTAGGTATAACTTTTGTGTGAGGTAATCCCTGTCTATCTCTTACTTCTTGCACCCTCAAAGAGACTATTTAAATTGTTTGGCCACCAGCTATTTAAATGTTTTTTTAAAAAAAAAATAAGAAAAAACTGAAAACTGCCAGTCACCAGAGGCTATATTGTTGTTGGCAAATGTCGATGGCTAAATGACGGCTGATAATTGTAATTTTATGAATTAAGTTAAGTAAACTAAATGAGAGGAAGAGGGTGTCCCACATTTTGTTGGATTTTGGTGCCACTGGCATTTGCATAAAACTACAATATCAACAAAATTTTTGGTCCTTAAACAAATTATAATAAAGACAATGACAACAAAAAAAAAAAAATGCAAAAATAAGGACCTTGGGCTTTCTCCTCCTTTTTATTTGCTTTGTGTTTCTTATGGATGTGTAGGAGCCAAATCCCGTTTGTGTGGCGTGATATGTTCATGACGTTTACATTTATGTTTGAAAGTAAGTTGGGTTCTTTCTGTATTTCCATGTTTGTGGTCTGTTGAAATGTCAAATGGTCAGCTGAAAATTCAATTCAAACTCATTGTCTATATATTGTATTCGTATTTTCCTTTTTGATTTGGGATTTTCAATGAGGAGTTCTGTGGGTGTCTTTCCTTGTTCATTTCTTTGTGAGTTTTTTTTTTAGGTTTAGCCTTAGTTTGAATTCTGTTTTGGCATCTTATAATGACCTGTTTTGATAATTAAAATGCAAATTTTGTTTTCTCTTTACAAAAATATTTTCTAAATTTTTGGCTGTTAAGAAAAAAATAATTTTGATATTTTAAAGGGTGTGTTAGGGGGAAATGATAATAATGCAAAAAAATTGGGAATTCAATAAATAAGGGTGCAGTTGTGGAATTATTTTTGAAATAGAAGTGGTTTTAGCACTGAATTAAGAAAAAAATATTAGGATTGACCTTGTATCGCATATCGTGTTTGAATAGAAATGGGTCTTATTTGGCACATCGAATAATTTGAGACAACCACCGGCCCTAGCGTTTCGATGTTCACAATCCTCCCTAGATACAAATTTTTTATCATTAAAGAAATTTAGCAATCCAAGAAAACAATGATAATCGCTTGGCAACAATTCCGGACTGTATAGTGGATGCATTAAAACTTCCCAACCAAGCTCCCGAAGGCTCTGGCGAGTCATTGTAGATGTGTGTTGCCCAGCGTTGTGCTGGAGAAACACGACACCTCTCCTGTTGGCCAATTCTGGCCGTTTCTTATTAAATGCTATCTTCAAACGGTCCAGTTGGAAGCAAGGTATGGAAGCAACTCATAATAAATAATCCCCTTCCAGTCCCACCAAATGCATAGCAGAAACTTCCTGTCCGCAAGTCCTGTTTTGGCCACCGTTTGAGGTGCTTCATCGCTTTTTGACCACAATCGTTTTCGCACACGGAAATTCGATCCATCCTATTTTTCTGTTAATTGGTGTAGCAACCAAACATCGAGCTTCGTTTTGAATCTAGCTTTGTGTAAATGGTTTAAAACAGTTTTATGTTAAATTTTTAGCTCCTGGGCGATGTTACGACTGCTAAACTTAAAGGTCAACTTTGATCATTTCTCCGATTTTTTCGACATTTTCGACGACCGAATGGATTTTTCCCCAAACTAATATAAAGGTCTTGCTCGGTTTTAGCTATTTTTAAGATCCTAGACGCATTTTTAATCAAAGTGGTGGATGACATTGCCATTCCATATTGTCGAAAGATATATCTCTTCTCCAAATATATAAATATCCCGTTCCATGTTATTCATTTTGTTGGTCTCGGTCGAAGTCGGTCTACTTTGGTATTTCGAATTCTGTCAAATTAGGGGGGTTTTGTACAATAATAAGCGTCATCCTGCAAATTAAATTTCCAGAATACTTATATGGGACTATACCAAAACGGGTCACGATATCTTCAGCAGTGAGACTTGACACCCAATGAACATACAGTAAATTCGGTTAAAAAACTTGTCCAAAATACCGAATATTGTAGAGTACTGTTACCCTGAAACGTGGGTCAATATTGATAATTTGTTGTACAGAGATTTGTTATACAATGAGAATTCAAAGTACCAAATTACAGCCAATTCGGTTGAAAATTTTGTTCAAATCCCCAAAATATTGAATATTGGGGAGTACCGTTATATGCGATCTACACCAAAACTTAGACCGATATATCCCATTTGCAATCCTAGAACCACTAGCAATATATGTGCAAAATTTCAGAGCTCTATCTTAAATATTGTGATCTGTATCGTGATTCAACAGGCAGACAAATTTTCAAATCGAAATTTATTCGGATAAAGAATATATATATATATATTGTGTGAGCTTCGGTGAATACTTCGATGTGTTACGAAGTGAATTACAGATTTAATATGCAAGCCATGTTATGGTGGAGGATATAACAATTCTGTTTGGGCGCCATAATACAATTGTTTTCAATATGTTTCAATATTCATTTTGCTGGGAGGAAGGTTTTACAAAAATTCGATCTTCTCTTTTATTTCTGTGTACATTTTCGAAACTATGACATTTCACTCATCTTTGCTTTGGAGTTATTTAATATCAAAATAGTTTTAGTTGTTGTAGCTGTTAATTTCACACCAAATCTGTAACACGAATTTCGAACATTCCAAAAACAAAACGAAAGACAACCCCTCCAAAATACAACAAACACTTTGTTGTTGGACTTCTTTGAATATAATAACCAAGTAACTGAAAGTTTGTAATGAATGAGGGTTACATTTATTTTTTAAAGTGTAGTTGTTTTAATGATCAGAACGAACAACCGAACGAACCGAACCAACCTAGAAACGAAATTACAAACAAACGAACATCAAAAAAAAAAATATATATAATAATATAGAAAATTTCAAGTATTTCTGTTTGAAAGACAACTTTCATGACATCCCAACAACAAAACAACAAGTCTTGGCCAGACCTTCCATCATCATAGGAAGTTGCCTTGGGAAAAAGTTTTTACATTAAAATTAAGAGTATCTTTTGAAATGACTTTTTGCCCTTTTTTTTTGATTAGAAGTTGACGACGATGATGACGACGGCGGCGGTGGTGGTGTACCTTGTACCCTGTCGTCGTTGTTGTTGTTGATTTTTTTGGGCGTACTCAATTCCTTAATCTAAACTTGCTGTTGTAATTTTGAATAAATAATTATGAAGATGTGGCATATCTAAAATTAAATTCAAATTAAAATAAGGAAGAAAAAAATAATAATAATAATTAGAAGAATAAATAATAAGGAGTAATTATAACACTTCCAGAAGAGGTCGTCACACACCCACGCACTGACCAACAGAAATGTCAATAATTTAGTCATTTTTCTGTTTTTATATTTATTTAATACAAGAGTATCTTGTATTACTAAAATGTCACATACAGTTTCAAACCAGTTCTGCAATATTACAAATTAAAAAATAATAATAAAAATTTTTATTAGGAAAAAGTCCCAAAAAGTGTACCATCATGCATTTTGACCCAGTGCCCTTCTACTAGACTTAAGTATAAAAAATACAAAAAATATAAAAATCCAAAAAACCTTATTTTTTATTATATAAATAACTTTACACATAACACGATAATTCTTTAGTTTATATGTCATGTATTGTTTTCCCTGTATATGTAAATAATTTTGTATTTTTTTTATTGTTATGTACTTTTTATTATTATTATTTTAGTTTAAAAATTGTTTTATTTTTTATAACATTGCTTCATTTTATTTACTCTAGTTTGTATACATTCCACTTCAGCTCCCTTTTTTTGGCCCAAAACCTAATCATTTTATTTGTATGTTTGTTTTTATTTTATTCTATATATTCCCTAAATCTCTGAACACCAACGGAGCAACCAAACGACGAACGAACATCAAACGTTAGTAAATAAAGTTTTATTTGTTTTAAGTTTTTGTTTTTATGATTTTAGATTTTTTTTTAAATAATACAACAAAAGTTAAAATTTCCCCGACATACATCCAAAATCCTTTAACAGTTTTAGTTGTTTTTAATTGCTGCTGTGTGCATCAGAATGCATATACTTGTACATTCAAATACCCTACTGGTGCAAGGAACTAGTTATGAGGATACTAAACAAATATTATAAAAACAAAAACAAAAATTGGTAATTTACTTAATTAGGTTTAGTTAATCTATTCGAAATTTTCTGTCTGAATATCGTATGGGATTTTGAAAATGCGATGGAAAAGTTGGAATGAGAAATTAAAAGTAGTACAAAAATTACACTGTGTGCATCAGATGTATGTACATTCCCTCTAGTGCAAGGAACTAGTTATGGAACTGATCGAAAAAATGAAACCGATAAGAAAAAATATATTATTTTTTATTTGTATTACACCCTTGATTTCGAGTTATTTTTTGCAAAGTTATTCCTGAGTATTCATCATATTATTAGGTTGGGAAAAAGAAATTCATTATAAAAATGTCGATAAAATCGGAGAAATTATCGAAGCAGTCGTGATATCGCCCAGGAGCTAAAAATCAATCATAAACTGTTTTAAACCATTTACACAAAGCTGGATTCCAAAAGATGCTCGATTAACAGAAAAAATAGGATGGATCGAATTCCCATCTGCGAAGCCTCGGCTAAACGGAATGAGATAGAACCATTTCTTAAACGGATGGTGACTGGAGATGATAAATGGATCACATAGGATAACCCTATGCGAAAACGATCGTGTGTCTATGAGCGGTGAAACACTTCAAACGGTGGCCAATTCGGGATGGTGACTAAGAATGAAGAATGGATCACATACGATAACCCTGTGCGAAAACGATCGTGGTCAAAGAGCCGTGAAGCACCTCAAACGGTGGCCAAACCAGGACTAAGGGCCAGGAAGGTTCTGCTATGCATTTGGTGGGACTGGAAGGTAATTTTTTATTATGAGTTGCTTCGATATGTCTAAATGCGAAATTCTTATCTCTAAGGGACTGTTTGAAAATATCAATTGACCACAAACGGTCAGAATTGGCCAACAGAAGAGGTGTCGTGTTCCACAAGGACAACGCTAGGCCACACACATATCTACAGTGACTCGCCAGAAACTTCGGGAGATTGGTTGGGAAGTTTTAATGCATCCGCCATACAGTCCGGACTTGGCACCAAGCGATTATCATATTTTTATTGTATTGCAAAATTTCTTTCATGATAAAAAATTGGTATCTAGGTGAAAATCTACTACTAGAGTTTTTTTTCAAATACAGCGTAAAAAAAGTCCAATAGTTCATATAAAAATAATGGATTTCTTTTTCCCCAACCAAATATATTTGTAGAAAATCGTCACATGCTACGGATCATGGACCTTGACCTATTGACGAAAGAAAACGAGCCAAATCCGAGATATGTTTTTCGTTTAAGGAGTATTTCGAAATATATGGTCACGTGTTTCGTCGACAACAGTAGTCATGCGGCCATTTATTTGATGTCGTCATAGAAATTCGAAAAACGATCACGAAAGATAATGTGATCTCTCTCACATTGAGTCAATCTAGGAACAATTGACCAAACAAACCCCTATATTTGTTTCAAAAATAAATAAAAAAAACGTGGCCAACGATTTTTGTCACCAGGAGACGTTATGTTACGATTAGGAAGGATCTCAATCGGATAGGAAAAGTGCTTCGATGATTGATTTATTTTTTATTCTGAAAAGCAATATCTGTATTTTTACAGATAAATATTCACTATTATATTATAGCCTTGTCGGGAGTAAATTCGTAGGTGACATAAGATTACAACACTAAATAAGCATGGACTCCAACCACTGGGTTGCTTTGTTGGGAAAAACTCCGAAGGTGACATTAAGATGAGATAAATAAGCATGGACTTCAACCACTGCGCAAAATTCAAGGTGACATTATTTCTGCACACCGAAAGATGGCATCTTCATAACATAGGACAGCCTGCAACATCCCTTGGTTTTTTATTCTGAAAAACAATAACTGCATTTTTTACAGAAAAATATTCGCAATATTCGCTGAGATGCTAAATTATAGCATTGTGGGGAAAATTCTGGAGGTGACATAAGATGGTGGTTATGTTGAAATTGCAACACTAAATAAGTAAGGACTTCAACCACTGCACAAATTTCAAGTAGACATTATTTCTGCACACCGATAGATGGCATCTTCATAACATAGGACAGGCTAAGGAATGTTGTAGCTGGAATAAAAACAAAACATGCTTAATGAAATGCATAACTATAGCATCTTCGGTTATAGTTGGTTGGTTCTATTGAAACTGCAAAACTAAATAAGCAAAGACTTCAACCACAACACAAAATTCAAGGAAACGTGCTTTATATGCACCAATAGATGGCATCTTCATAACCTAGGGCTACAACGGACCAATCATCCCTTAACTGGAATGCACACAGAACATGATTAACAAAATTAATACAAACACTAATCTATTAGGATGGCGATGCTTTATGTAATCTTGAAACCCCTAATTTACTGACATCGTTCAGAAATGAGACTAAGGACTACTTCCGACCGAAGCCTTATAAAATTAAAATTTCTTACAGGCATGTCATTTAGCCTCGGAAAATTTGTAACTAAAACTTTTAGCTTCAAGGTATCTCAAATCGGTCTTGTTCCTTATGTCACGACTGTACAAATATTAAAAAAATCAGCCAGGAAATTCCAGTACATATCGTCGTGGTGAGGCTCATATATGATAAAGTACTTATGACTCAAACAGACCAATTGCAGAAATATTCAATTGTCATATCTATTATTTTGAACAGATGTGCATATTTTGATGTTTACTTTTATGATTATTTTTTCCTATATTTTTAATTTTTTTCGTTGTAATCTGATGTTAGAAACAAACAAACAAAAAAATACAACATAATTTTTTTTACATTGTAGTTAGTTTTTATTTGTTTAACACGTATAGATTGTATTTTTTCATTTGTTTTATTTTTTTCTCCCTGAATACCAACATCATCATAATCATCGACAGACAACAGACTGCAGTTATATAATATTTGCATAAATAACAACAATATTTGATTATGTTCTTGCACAAATACTGTTTTTTTTATTATTGCATTGCATCAATTGATTTCCAACATCAACAATAAAAACAACCACAATAGAAAAAAATATAATAATATTTACAAGCTAGAAAACAAATTGCTACTTGTAATATATTCATTTTTTATTATATATTTTTTTTGTTAGAAAAAAAAAACAAATAAAATTTAATATAATTGGGTTTTAATTAATTCTTTAACAATTATGTGAAATTTATTTAAAAAAGAGAACAAACACTTGAAAATCTTTTTCAGCAACAGTAGTTTTATTTTGTGTTGTCCTAATTTATGTGTTTTTTTATTAAATAAAAAATAAATTTTTGCGTTTTTTTCATTTGTTTAGTAATAATTAGGAATTGGTTGCATAAAAGCAGTACAATTTTTGGGAGAACATTTTTTTTATACAGATTAGAAATAAAGTTCTCCTGTAGGGCACCATAGAAATTTATAAAAATGTATGTATATCGAATAAAAATTTAAAAAAAAAATCCATCATGGGACCTTGAAAAATATTCCAAAAAAATCTCCACTTCTATTGGACCTTGAAAAATTATTTTAGGAAATCACGCATCAAATATTCCTTAAAAATCTATGCTTAGGACCGTGAAAAATAATCTTCAGAAAATTCACGCTTCTATAAGATTTGTAATAATTCAAGTCTTTTATAGGACCTTAATAATATTCTTTAACAATTCACGCTTCTCTAGGACTTTTAATAATTCCAGGCTTCTATAGGGGCTTGAAAAATAGTTTTTAAAACTCCACGCTTCTATAGGACCTTGAAAATATTAAGACCTTGAGAAATATTCTTTAAAAAGCACGCTAGTATAGAACCTTGCAGTACATTCTTTACAAATCTACGCTTCAATCGGACATTGAGGTATAATATTTTATAAAAGTACGATTTTATAGAACCTTTAAAAATATTTACTTTATAAATTCAACGCATTGAAGAATATTTTTAAAACCTCTACGCTTTTAAAGGACAAAATAGTTACGCTTCTATTGCATATTAAAAATAATTCTGTTAATTATTCACGACTCTTTAGAACTTTAAAATTTTTCTTTAAAATA